TATTCTTTTCCATTAGAGTTGTATATTTTGGACCATACGAGACTTTATAAGCACGGTATGCAATTATAATTCATTTGATTAGTAACAGTATGTACTCCTTACTCAGCAGTCACCCATTGTAAACAAATATTATTCATTTGATTACTTAGAATAGATATCTGTAAGTGTATATATCCTTACATATATATTTATATTGTATAAATCTTAATGAAAATATATTAATAACTAAAAATGTTGGACTTTAAAAAATTCACAAAAAATACTTTTAATTATAAACTATATTAAGTTTTCGTTATGCTGTTATATTTTGATAGGTTTTAAGTGAGTTCATTGATTTCCCGAATAATTTTACTTCATATTAGCAAAAATATTTCAGAAACGGAAGTAATTTATATGCCTATTCAAAATATAATATATACAGGAAGATATTTTTTTAAAAAAAATATAAAATATATAGTATGATAATATATTATTACATGGAAGTGATGAAAGTAACTAATAATTAGTTGAAAGTAACATATGTAGTTTAATAATGGCTATGAGAGACTGCCAATTATCCGCCATCACCAATGTGTATTTTATTTTTATATATTTTAATTTTAAATAGTTAACTGCTTGTTATCAAGATTAGTTATTTATACTACATTATTTTCAGCGATTTAATTGAATTGATTTATAAAGCATGTACTTCGCTTCCTCTTTTGTTGTAGGTGCAATGTACTTGTTTCTTTAGTAATAATTTAACTCAAAAAGTGAAATTTTTGCTTTTATAACATTTTTAAAATATTTTATAATTTTTTTTTAACACTTTTGTTTATTTGTTATGTTATAAATGCACTAAAGATGCAACACCGAATAAATATCAAAATGGAAATGTTGATTTGATAAGCTACCCTCAATCGAACGGTATATTTAGTTCATTAAAAATTGTGAAATTAAAAAATACTCGAAGAAAAGAAACGTAACGAAAAATTGCTTAAATTAAAAGTCTCAACGTGTGATTAAAATCTTAATCTTTAAATTCGTACAGTCTCTTTGGAGAGCAACTCCAAACAAATTTTAGCATCTTATTGACTATTGACTAACCGTATGGAATTAGTTGTTAAAAACACTTTCAGATTTCATAATAACAAATTAATGACAGATAATTGCATCGTCCTGGTGTAAACATTTAAGTAGTCTTTTATTTAAATAAGTACACTATTTATTTGTTGTCTTTAAGCAGTTATTTGACAGTTTCCTATGAGTTCTTTAAGTGCTCACTCGTAAAATGATTATAGAAGTTTCCTTACGCGTTCAGCTTTATTAAAACCGAAATGGATTGCAAAAACGATTAAGCTAAGCACCAGTGGTTTAATAAGGAAACGAGAATTACCAGATAGATTCACTTCGCTGACAATATTATCTACACAAGTTTATACAATTCCGATATATTTTCGTTTATATATATGTATATATTAGTACTCGTGTTTGTTAACAATTTTGAGAAATAAATCTAAATGTAGAACTAGTAGAAGAGATAGTTCTAATTTTTAAGGAAAATATACTAATATAAGAATCTAATATATAAATAAGACCAATTATAACACATTTTTCTACAAATATATATATGTATTTAAAAACATATGGTATGTAAATATATAAGTAATTAAATAAGTGAAAAATAATTTGAAAAGTAATTTCAGCTTGTTTGCGATGGATCTTATTTATATAGAATATAGAATACAGTATAATGACGAAATATATGATTGTATGATAAATGAAATCATAGAATATAGAATACAGTACATTGACGAAATATATTACTATATGATGAATTATTATTATTATTAAGTACGAAATAATGAAGTGTGTTGGTTACATTATACAAATGTCAGATGATGACCATAAACGAAGCCAAACAAAAAGTTTTTGTTATGAATTTTATTACTTTATCTCAATTTATCTCAAACTTTATCTGTATAGGCTGTCACCATTTTAAGTAAAATAAAAAGAAGTTATGATAAAGATAAAGTAGATTGATTCACTTATCTTTAGAAAAGTATATTTCAAAGAATCTTCAATATTTCTTCTACTTCTAATAAATATGGTAAATGTATATACATCATATAATATGAGATAATGTATCTTCTTTCACGCTTTACTGAGGAATATTAAAATAATATAAGTTCTACGAGATTCAATTGGGTCGCCTTCGCAAATTTAAGTGCATCACAGTGGGCGATATATATTTTCGATCGGAAATGTTCATATTTGTATTAAGATGCGCTCTTTTAATTTAACTTAGAGTCGGTTCTGATAATTTCGTTACAAATATTGTATAATTAAAAATAGTACGTTTTTTAAAGCAATTTAAAAAAATTAATAAAAATTACATTTTAATTACAATTAATCGAATTAAAATAATTCCAATAATTTCTTGAAAATAATAATACCAGTAAAATCATTACTCTTCATTTAATATCATTGTAGCATAACTTACGAATGAGTAAGACCAAGTCACATTCACAGCATTTATCTCCGCTTAATAAGTTTGTTTCCACAACCTAACACGTATCGACACTTAAGCGTATCAAAGCATGAAAAGTATCTGCACTTGGTAGTATCTTATTGTACAAATGTTGCATATTAACTTAACAAGAGTTTAAACCAGTTTGAAGCGCATTTTAAGCGGTTTTCTGTTTCTGTTTTTGTTTGTTACTTGCTACTTCTTGGTACCATGCAACTTGAAAATATTTCAAAACAAAAATCAAAATCAAGTTCAAGGCTTGATTAAGTTGAAGAGCTTCAAACATATGATTTGTAATTGAAATGTTTATTAAAATAGCTTGAGAGAATATGAATATAAACTCGAATATTTTAAATAATGAAAAATAATAAACTTTTAATTAAAATATTTCTTTTGTGTGTATTCATTTGGTTTCGACTTTACTTACTTTCATTAAGTCCCCGTTACTTGGCACATTTTCATAAATTAACCCGACATTCTTTCAGTTCATAAAAATGTTAAGCACCATTCATGCATATTCAATAAACAAAGCCACAGCAAAACGTAACCAAAAAAGAATAGATTCTTTTCGAAATGGGGGCGGGCGTAAGCAAAGTATCGATCATTTTGGCGTGAAATTTTTCAAGTTTGTTTTGGAATTTCTTCTTTATATATTTTCAGATGTTCTTATTGTTATATTTTGTATTTATTTCTTGGAAATTTATTCGCTTATATTCTATTCAACAATAAAGAAATGAAATGAAATTTGATATGAACTATTAGAACTTTTTTCTATATTGGTTTCTTTCGATTAGTGTAGATATAATCAACACGATTTGCTACCTGATCTTATAATTAACAATGTCAATTATTCCAAGTTCTATAAAAAAAATTCTTTAAATTTGTGCCAGTATCTTAATTTTTGTTTAACACTTTTGGGTAAAAAACAACACAATGTATTAATCAACTTTTTTTAGAATATTTCTTTACTTCACAATGATACCGATACAAAAGAAGCTTGAGGCCTCACAGAATGATACCGATATCTATTTATTCTAACAATGTTTTTCAAACTGTTGGTTACATTGATTTAAGTAAACAAGACTTGTCCCTATCTGAAAGGAAATGGGACGAATATATGCATAATATATGAACAATATGTGGTAGTTTTTAAGTAATTTTAAATTATTAGTAATTTTTCGTTTCAATATTATACAAACAAGACGTGTGTTCATAAAGTAACAAGAATTCTTAATTTTCTTATTTCATCTTCAGTGTTCATTCAATGCCTTTCAAACTATTGTCCCTCTTTTGGTATGTACTAGTTTCAGTTAAAAAAATACTATTGGTGGTAATGTCTTGATTTGTTTGTTGGTGGTTCTGTAATTTTGCTTTTATCCCAACCATTGTTGAAAAATCTTGTACTTGAAAAGTCTTTTTAAGTAACAAAAATCGAAAAAAAAACTCGTTAGGTGCCATGACTGGAAAATAGAGCGATTGGAATGTTACAGTACTTTATGTATCACGACGTGGTATTAGATAAGCAAAAAATTTTCACAATAAATTTTATTGACTCTTGTTTCATGTCCAATAAGTTTGTAAAAATCGGTTCGTATAAGCTACAGGCCTTTAACATTTCTTTAACAACCTCAGTAATGTTAATTTTTCTATTGAGTATTAAAATTCTTTTCAATTTTCTCTGCGTTTTATCATTGATGGAAATTTTAAAACGGCCAGACTTGACAACAAGACTCAATGTCTTTTCGAATGCAATTTGTATCAATCATAAACTTCTGACTGTGATATAGCATTGAAGTCAAAAATCCTTTCATATGTTTTTAGCCCTAAATTTTTTTTTAAATTTTATACACACTTTATAACTAAGTTATAAAGTTTATTTTATATAAAATTAAAAATTTTTAAATGCAAAAAACAAAAGAATAATTTCTTTCATCGACCGACCAGGTTGATTTCTTCTTGAAATTTATTTCCGGGACCACTCGTTTATTTGGATAGAAAATGAAACTCTACCGACAACAACTTATAATATATATATATTTATTTATATATTGTATTTATATATAATATAAGTAATCAGTTGTTGTGCTTCCAACACTGCTTTCTCATGGTTTGAAAAATGCATATGAGTTTTGCATGATAATGAGTAACTGAAACATTACCTAATTTTGATAAAAATCAAAATACACGTAAAAATGTTATAAATTATTTTGCGAATTCAAAACTTATTATTATACATTACAATTATACATTACAAACATTGTAATAAACTTTTTTCTTATTTTAGTAAAAGAAAATTTGGAAGTTGATAAGGGAACTTGGCAGCAACACGTATTTTAATGTGTTTAGAATGTATTATATCTCAATATCGCAATAGTGTATTTATTAAACCAATAAATATGTAATAAAAAAATATATTAAAATAAATTTTATATTACAAACAAATAAACTTACAACATATACTTTATAAAATATTTATATTTTCTTCTTCGCAGGCTTAACGAATTGGATATGACATAAAAGCCACATCTGTAATTGCAACACATATAAGCAACATTGAGTAAAAGAAGTATTTAAAGCACATTTATTTTTTACCATCAAGCAACATGAGCGCAATTGTAGGCGCTGCTACAGCAATCGGGGGCGCCGTAACAGCAGCAACAAGTACAAGTTGGTTTATACCAGTATTAGTAGCTGCAATAGCTTATTTTCAGTATGAAGAAATAATGGATCCTGAATCGAAGCCTTATGATTTGGCCAGCGATGAAATACGTGACCATTACGATTTTATAGTAATAGGTGCGGGATCAGCGGGTGCAGTTGTAGCTAACCGTCTCACAGAGGTAGAGAATTGGAATGTACTACTAATCGAAGCAGGTGGAGATGAAACTGAAATATCAGATGTACCATTACTAGCTGGATATTTGCAGCTTAGTAAAATGGATTGGAAATATAAAACGGAACCTTCAGGCAAAGCTTGTTTGGGTGAGTAATTCTATTCGTATAACCTTAAGCATGAAACTAAAACTAAAATAATTTCCACTTTTAGCTATGAACAATGGGCGTTGCAACTGGCCGCGTGGTAAAGTACTTGGTGGTTCTAGCGTACTTAATTATATGCTTTATCTGCGTGGCAGTAAAATTGATTATGACAATTGGGAGTCCATGGGCAATCCAGGTTGGGGTTATCGTGATGCTTTATACTATTTTAAAAAATCAGAAGATAATACCAATCCGTATCTGGCAAGCACACCGTATCATTCGACTGGTGGCTATTTAACAGTTGGTGAAGCACCTTTTCACACGCCATTAGCAGCAAGTTTTGTTGAAGCTGGCGTAGAGATGGGATATGAAAATCGTGATCTTAATGGCGAGAAGCAAACCGGCTTCATGATTGCACAAGGCACAACAAGACGTGGTAGCCGTTGTAGTACAGCAAAAGCATTTTTAAGACCTGCGCGTCTACGTCCAAATCTACACATTTCTATGCATTCACATGTTACACGCATCATGATAGATCCAGTGACGAAACTGGCTTTTGGCGTGGAATTCGTTAGAGATCAAAAAATGTATCATGTACGTGCAACAAAAGAAGTAATACTCTCTGGTGGTTCTGTTAATTCACCACAACTGCTAATGTTGTCTGGTATTGGACCGCGTAAAGAATTAGCTAAACACCATATACCAGTAATAAAGGAATTAAATGTTGGTGAAAATATGCAGGACCATATTGGGTTAGGCGGTTTAACATTCTTGGTTAATCAACCCGTTTCCATTGTGGAAGGACGTTTGCATTCCATGTCGACTGTTTTGCAATATGCTGTTTTTGGTCAAGGTCCATTAACTATACTTGGTGGCGTTGAAGGTCTTGCTTATGTAAATACGAAATATGCGAATAATACAGTTGATTGGCCTGATATTGAATTTCATTTCGTTTCGGGTTCTACAAATTCTGATGGTGGTTCTCAGCTACGTAAAGCTCATGGATTAACAGAGGGTTTTTATAATTCAGTATTTGAAAAAATAAATAATCGCGATGCATGGAGTATTATTCCAATGTTATTACGTCCGCGTAGTGTGGGCTCAATTAAATTGCGTAGCGGCAATCCATTTGATTATCCTTATATATTTCCAAATTATTTAACTGATGATTATGATGTGAAAACACTTATAGAAGGTGTTAAAATTGCTGTGTCAGTTTCACGTACGAAAGCTATGCAACGCTTTGGTTCACGACTTTCGACCATCAAATGGCCTGGTTGCCAGCATTTACAATTATTTACAGATCCATACTGGGAGTGTATGATACGACAATATACAGTAACTATATATCATCCAGTGGGTACATGCAAAATGGGTCCGTATTGGGATCCTGAAGCTGTTGTTGATCCACAATTACGTGTTTATGGTATACGTGGTTTAAGAGTTATTGATGCTAGCATAATGCCGAAGTTGGTTAGTGCGAATACTAATGCGCCTGTCATAATGATTGCTGAGAAAGGTTCCGATATGATTAAAGAATTTTGGATTAAAAATACAATTCTATAGTTTTAAGAATGATTGGGGTTTATAAAGGGGGTTTTTAGTTTTAGTTTAAGTAGATTTAAATTTGATATTATATTTAATTGATTTTATATTGTTTTAAGTATCTATTAATTAAAATTTTTATTTATTATTTTAATGGATTATTTAATTTTTTGGTATTTATTTCATGAAGTTAAGTGGTAAATCATATTTATGAAATTTATCTAAATGTCATTATAACTTACATATGAACTAATTGAATGCTAGAATTTACAATAAATTCAATTATTAAAAACATTTTATACTAAATTTAAAAATTGTACTATTAATTTAAGATTCTATGGCAAGCATAAATCAAATTAAGATTTAATTCATTATTCTAATAAATATTGTGAGCGATAAAAGACAATTAACCGTGTTATTTTGGCAACAGTCACTGATTTCACTTGCGTCATTGTTACTTAGCTTAATCCTGCTGTTTTAGTTCTTTTGCAACATTGGAAAAGATCATTCAGCATTTTAAAATTATAAAATGTTTAACTGTCATAATTATGACGATGAAAACAGTCACAGCATAGGTTATACCCACAATGGACCAAAAAAAAATAGGTTGATAATTTCAAACGCTATTTAACGCCGTTTCAGTTCAATAATAGGGATTTTTTATATGTGACATGTGACAAGGGATGAAACATAAATCCGTGACTACGCATCTAAGTCTAATTAATAGGGCGGTAAAATGTAAAAAATTAGTACAGCAAATGTGAGCTAATAAGGTTTTGGCTGCATTATTTTATGTTATGCATATCTAGTTTTGCTCTAGCTGATATCGATTTGCTTCCACAGAAGATTAGAAGGAGCTGACTTTTGGTTTCATAATGGAACTATGTTGTTGAATATAGACGAATTTCACTTGAAAGATGTTACTCTATCAGTTATTCTACAAAGTTAATTTATTAAAAATGGTATATTAGTCGCATATACCATGTTTAATTGGTATCTTTAACTAAACATGAAATAGGAATTTACCATTTTGCGGCAAACAAAAAAATATAAGATATTTAAGCAATAAAAATGTTTAAAATACAAATTGTTAATTTGGTGTCGAGATTAAAATTACAAATTTTAGAGATGAAATTTATTATCAGTGTTCTCATATCAAGTATTAAAAAAAGCACTACTACTATATAACCACAAAAAATATCTGACATTTTAGTAAAATATTTTTTTTTTCAAACTTCAAATTTAGTTGTGATAACTTTTTTGAAAGTTGAAAAAATGCTTATTAACAGTCGCAAAAGCTCAATAATTTTAACAGAATGTATTAAAGCTTTTTCACATATGTTAATAACATTAATGTTAAAGATTTTTGTAATGTTAACACAAATACTTCAGCAAATTATTACAGTTTAAGGTATAATATATGTATTTTGAAGTGATAATAATTTTATTAATTGAAAAAAATAAATTAGATTTTAATTATGAAATAAAAATAATTTTTCTAAAGTAATTAACTTAAAATATGTACTGAAACAGTTTTTTTAAAGCTATGCTGTTGTTATATATTTTTATTGATTTAAAATATATTATATTTATTATAATATATTTTCAGAATTGATTAATATAAAAAATGGAAAATTAAATTTAATAAAATGAAAACTGTACAGATTACTATTATATAATATTTGAATCTTTTGTTAGGATCTGATTTCCTCCTTTTTAGGCGGATACTCACTCTAACAAGCACATTATTCTGTTACCGAGTTGTACAATAGACAGTGGACATATTTTAAATGAAAATAATAATTTTTTCAAATGTTTAAGTGCAAAAAATACCCCCTTACACACCCTTTTGAGCTTTTCGTATAAAATATTCTAAAGAACTTTTAGTGAATCCAGGAAAATAAAAGCAAATGGATGAAATTGGTCGTTTATATCAAATAGAGATCATAGAATATATTCAAACATCTCTTGAATGCATATTTTTAAAAACATTTGTAATATAATTTTGTTAAAATTGAAAAGTAATTACAAAAATACAAAAAAAAACTAAGAAAGTAGAGAGGTTTTTTCGAACAGTAGTGAACTACAACAACAAAAATTTTATTTTTTATATTATTTTAGTTAATTGAATTTTTGGCTGACCATATAGCTATTTTGAGTATTGCCGAATACCCATCATCAGTGGTCTTGGAAATAATTCTTGTATTTAATTATTTGTAAATAATTATTTTTGAGACTGCAAGCACCAGGATTCGAACTTAGAAAGTAGTAAATAACCTCTATGTAAAAAGACTATTTTTGTCAAGGGTATTTAAGGATTGTATATTGTATAAAGTAATTATAAAAATACAGAAAAAATATAAGAAAGTAGTAAATAACCTCTATGTAAATGGACTATTTTTGTCAAAGGTATTGAAGAGTTGTTAATAAATTTTTTTGTTTAATTACATTATATATTATTATTATTACTATTATTTTTAATAATTGAATGATATTTTATCATAACTAATTATATTGCCAAATATTTGCTTAAAAATTATTTTAATTAAAAAAGGATAATAACAATATTTATTTTGAAGCTTTTAAAATATTATAAATATTATTTTTTATTATATAAATATATTTTAAATGTTAATTTTTTTGTTGAATGTGACTTGTCTTATAACGAAAAAAAAACTATTTATAAGTTAGAAAAGTTCGAACAGTCATATATATACAAAAACAAAAATTTTAATTAATTTATTGAAATTGGTTGATCGTATTAACGCTGTTTCGAGCATTGCCAAGTACACATCATCAGTAATCTTAGGAAATATTCGAATTTTTATTTAATTATTTATAATGTAAATTATATACGGACTATAAAGTAATTAAATAAAAATTCAAATATTTTCTAAGATCATTAATGATGAATACTTGGAAATACTCAAAACAGCGTTATATGGTCAGCTATATTTCAATAAATTAATTAAAATGTTTGTTGTTGTTCTTCATTACTGTTTGAAGCATTTTAAGTCATAAATATTTTTTATTTTAATTATTTTAAATATTAAATTTACTTATTTTCTACCTATGAACAGATTATGAGTAAACAAAAAAATACAAAAAAAAAAATAAATTTAAATGTGTAAAATTGTATTTTTGTTATAAAGATATTCACAGATTTAATTATTATTAACATATAAAACATATATATAACAGTGAAACAGCGTTATATGGTCAGCTATATTTCAATAAATTAATTAAAATTGATGTTGTTGTTTCTTAATTACTGTTTGAAGCCTTTTAAGTCTTCAAATTTTAAGTAAATTTTATTAAATTTACTTATTTTCTACCTATGGACAGATTGTAAGTAAATAAAAACAATACAAAAAAAAATTAATTTAAATGTGTAGAATTGCACCTTTGTATGGTAAACCAAATTATCTTAATTTTGGTCTCTGTCTTTATTTATACAAAGAACATTTTTAGATTTAAGCAATTGTCTGTTATCATTTAAAAATATAAATTCTAATAAATGCGATGATATTATGCATTTTTATAACCTTTTAGTTGTGTTTTGATATATCTTAACAATCTTTGCACAGCAGTAAACATATATAGACAAAAAAAAGCCTTAGTTGTGTTTTGATATATCTTGCCAATCTTTGCACAGCAGTAAAAAACCTAGTCGCGATTAGATAATATAAAACTTTATTTCTCTAAGATAAAAAATTAGTATCAAAAAATAAAAATTATTGAACTTCCCTAAGTGCATTTTAAAACAATAATCGAAAATTGTTTGAGTTCAACAACATCTGTGAACGAAGACTTGAAAAAAATGTTGCCGCACACTCTCCACGTACTTTTATTTTTAATTAAATTATAATTGTTTTATATTTTGATTATTTCAAAGGCATAAAATCGTGTTATCTTGATAAAAACGTTAATGCGAGTAAAACCGCGTGAGACGTAAAAAGATACTTTAAATAAAAAAGTAGCAACAATGTTAAGTAAATAAAAGAAATATTTACGATGCAGCACAAAAAATAAATGAATTTCACTTTCTACTCAGAATCGGGTTATCAGTCCGAATCAGCTTACGATGAATTGAGCAGTGGCCGGCCTAGAAGAAAAAATTGAATACATTTTCGAAGTGTTGAAATATGAGAAATATTTGCGGTTCGCTTTTTAGTAATAAGAAAACATTAAAAGACCTCATTATATTTGCCAGTATTTTTGGTTTAGCTATCATTATTTGCTGCGCTCTGGTGGTGTTCGGTGCGACGATAAACAAAAATGCAGCTGAAACGGATAAATGCGCAACTGAGACAGTCGGTGTGACAGATGGTTTAATTAGCAATTTATTTTCAACTATAAACGCCGCCAAATGTGAACTATCCAAACCGGAGTTATGGCCTAAAGATTATGGCAAAGTAGCTCTGACGACACAGTTAGATGCGTATGACTTCGTTATAGTTGGTGCAGGCTCAGCTGGTTCGGTTGTTGCAAGCCGCTTAAGTGACAATCCTAAATTGAACGTTTTAGTTTTGGAAGCAGGCGGTGATCCACCTTTGGAAGCTGAGGTACAGAATTTTATATTCTATTGATTGTTTTAAAAATTAAAACATTTAATTTAAATTATTCAATATTTTTACACACTAAGATTATTGGTCTCTCATCAACACTGCATCGTACCAAATATTTTTGGACAGATTATGCTGAAAGGAATCAAAATTGTTGTCAAGCGATGAAAGATGAAAAATGTTATTGGCCACGTGGTAAGATGATTGGTGGCACAGGTGAAGTAAATGGCAATATATTCCTATTAGGCCATCCAAACAATTTTGATAGATGGGTGTTGTCGGGCAATGACGGTTGGTCCTGGCAGGAAATACAAAAAATCTATAAAAGAGCAATAAAACAAATGCCAAATCAATTGAACTCACAAGGTAGACTGATATTAAATAATTTTGACCCACTTGAAAACTATGACGAACTAACTGAAATGATATTCAACGCCACAAATGAACTTGGCTTTCCACAAATAAACAACACTATTGACGGCATTAAAATTGGTTACACCCAAAACATATTGGCAACTGTCGATAATGGTCTACGCATGAGTACTGGTAAAACATATCTGGCTAAAGTGGAACGTATAAGAACAAATTTACATGTCATTAAAAATGCATTAGCGACTAAAATACATTTTAGCGGTCAAGGCAAAGCTACTGCAGTAGAGTTCATTTTACAAGATACGTACAAGTTCAGAGTAAAGGTAAATAAAGAAATTATATTATCAGCAGGTGTTATAAACACACCTAAATTATTGTTACAATCTGGTATTGGACCACACGCACATTTACAAAAGGTGGGCGTGCCATTAATAAAGGATTTAAAAGTTGGACAAAATTTACATGATCATGGTATGTTGCCGTTAATGCTAAAATTTGGTCAAGATATTGCTTTACCCATTAAGCCCACGGATATGCAAAGTATTTTTGATTTTTTTACACAACAGAAAGGTGCTCTGGCCGCAAGTTATACCCTTATGGGATTTATAAATAGCAAAAATTTTAGTAGTTTAAATACCGAACCTAATCTACATTTGGTTTCACACACCTTAAAAGCTAAAGGTGACCCAGGTTCGTTTAGTTTCCTTGGTATAAAAGATGAATTAGTTCAACTCTTTGAACTACAAACACAAAATTTCACTTTATTACAAATAATGGGTTCCCTTTTACTACCTAAATCACGTGGTAGTGTTATGTTGCGTACTTCAGATCCAACAGCACCGCCATTGATTATTAACAATTACGGTAATCATACAGAGGATAGAGTCACATTACTGCAGTATGTACGTTATGTGCAGAAATTGGTTGAAACTAAATCGTTTCGAAAGTATGATTTAGAGTTGGTCCATGTACCAATACCGGAATGTGATAGAATTGCATATGATACGGATGAGTATTGGTACTGTTACGTGAAGTACTTTTTCATCAGTTCTTGGCATGGTGTGGGTACTTGTAAAATGGGTCCCATTAAGGATACTACAGCAGTTGTCGATGCAAGATTAAGAGTACATGGTGTAAAGGGTATTAGAGTGATTGATGCGAGTATAATGCCTGATATATCAAGTGGGAATACTAATGGCGCAACAATAATAATTGCGGAAAAAGGTGCGCAAATGTTGCAAGAAGATTGGAGTTAACAAAGGAAGCAAGATTAGTTAAGTTTTTAATTAGTGTTTTAAGGTTACAGAAGTGTTTTAAAATTAATTAAAATAAATATAAAAATTATTGAACAAGAAAATAATTAATATAAAAAACATTAAATGAAAAAGTTTAAAAATGTTTTTATTAAGTTCATATAGAAAATATTGTACAATTCATTTTTTTGACAAATTTATTTGTTTAAATTCAATAAATATGTTGTTGAACTGATATATAAGATGTTTAATTAAAATAATAAGGCAAATAAGTAAGTTTTTCAATAATAAATAACGGTTTTGGTCACCGACTTGAAGACCTACAGACAAAGTATAACGCATAGAACAACATCCGATCTTTAGACTGAATTCAAACAAAATTATTTCATTTAAAATAACTTCAATTAAATTAAGTAAAATAAAATAATATGAAAAAACAAAATAAAATGAAATAAAAATAAAATTAAATAAAATTAACAAAAAAAATAAAATAGAATATAATAAAATGAAATACATATAATGAAATAAATAAAATAAAATAGAAAAGCATAAATTAATATAATAATAACTAAAATAAAATAGAATATAATAAGATAAAGTATAATAGAATAAAATAAAATAAAATAGAATAAAATAGAATAAAATATATACCATTAAAATATATAATATAGAATAAAACAAAACAAAATAAAATGAAATAAAAATAAAATTGAATAAAATAAACCGAAAATAAATAAAATAGAATATAATAAAATGAAATAAAATAAAATATAATAAATTAAAACAAAGATAAATAATTTAGAATATATCAAAATAAAACATAATGTGATAAAATAAAATATAATGGAATGAAATAAAATAAAACAAAATATAATAAATTAAAACAAAGATAGAATATATCAAATTTGATATATAAAATAAAAATAAAATTAAATAAAATAAATGGAAAATAAATAAAATAGAATATAATAAAATGAAATAAAATAAAATATAATAAATTAAAACAAAGATAAATAAAATAGAATATATCAAAATAAAACATAATGGAATAAAATAATATAGAATAAAATAAAATAAAATACAAATAAATAAAATAATAAAATAAAATAAAATAATATATAATGACATGAAATAAAATAAAATTAAATAATATCAAATTATACTAAGTTTAATTATATTATATTTATATTATAAATATGGTATCAATATTATAATATTAATTTATATAAATTAAATTATATTAAACTGAATTATATTGAATTAATGAATTTAAGAAATTTTATTAATTTAAAATACAAATAATTATAATTAAATTAACTAAAATTTACTAAAATTAAAATTAAATTATATAACATAAATAAATAAAAATAAAATTAATTACTATAAATAATCTGCCAAGAATCTTAACTCCATTAGGGGTTATTGAAGAACAAAGAAAAATTTAATTCCAATATATATCCTGTTTACTTTTGATGTGGTCTGAATAATAACTAATATAATTTAATATATATAACTGACATAATATTTTTCTAATATATATTCTCTATAACAAAATAAATATAGATATTTTATACTGTTGAATATCTTAAAATAAAATGAATCACTGTGATATATCATCTTTGAAAAATACCTAGAATTAAAATCAGTAACGAGCATAACAGCCCAAAGACTTTAAATTAATAGAACTTGGGTTTGGTTGTTTTAAATGTTCTCGAATTACAACGATAAACTTTTAAATATTGATAAAATAATAGTGCGAAACTCTTGTATATTTATAGTTCCACGTTTATCAAGTGTCCCGAAAGTTCCTAATTCCCCGAAAGTTCGATGAAAATATGATAAATAGATTTTGAATTATTTTGTTGAATTTTTGAAAAATTCAGGGGGAACCTGCGGTGATTACGGATTTTGGTCAGTCAATATGATATTTTGTGAAAATCACTTTGTTTTTATTTTACTTGGGAATTGTTTTATATCGGGAAGTAATTTAATGCCAATAAATCAATTTATTTTTATAATTCACCATCTACTTAATATTCGGCTATTAAAACCAGTCTTAACAAATTTTAAATGTATGATAATAATAAAAGTAATATATATATAATATATATAATATAGTAATATAGTAATATATAATATATATAGTAATATAGTAATGATATATAGTAAATTAATAGTAATATATAATGTAAATTAATAGTAATATATAATGTATAAATTAAAATTCTTAGAGATTTAAAGATAAATAACATAAAGGTTTTTAGATAATAAGATAACAATAACATAACAATAGTGGAAGTTCCATCACCTTGAAGAAGTCACTACTTAAAGACAATAGAACTGTCTTTGAATGAATGAAAATGTAACTGAAGTTTTTTTTTTATTAAATCAGGTGTACACATAGGTTAAAATTTTGTAATGCCGAAAATTAGTTCGAAAAAATGTAAACAAGACAACGTGAATGACAATAAAAACAGTTTTTTAAATTTTGCTGATTTCTGCTAAAAGTATTTTGTACAAAATTACCGATATTGCAATTATATTGAGTAAATTTGTCAAAAAGTGAGAAATAATTTTGAAAAATTTACTAAAATATTATAATGAGAAGCTCAATTTAAAAAATAAACTCTTCAACAGACCAGTTCGGTTTCGGTGTTACTTGCAGACTGTATCAGTTTTCCCATTCAGAAATATTGATAAAAATGTTGACGCTTGACACGATGGCCACATTGTGGCGATTATTTGCTACTGTAGCACCAAGTGCTGTGTTTCTGGTTATGTTACATGAAGGAGTATTACAATACAGACCCGATATAGTCGATCGTCCAAATCGTGTACGTCCAACAAGAATTGAACATTTGCGAAAAACATATGATTTCATTATAGTTGGTGGTGGTTCAGCGGGTTGTGTACTGGCTAACAGACTTTCCGAAGTAGCAGAGTGGAATATTTTACTATTGGAAGCTGGTGGTGATGAACCCTTTCTTGGTGAGTTACCACAAATGTATCCAGTTTATCAACATAGTCCATGGGACTGGCAATATAGAACTGAACCGTCAGAACGTTACTGTTTAGCACATCAGTATGAACGATGCTTTTGGCCGCGTGGTAAAGTATTGGGCGGTTGTAGTGCTATAAATGCTATGATGTATATTCGCGGTAATAAACGTGATTATGACAATTGGGCTGATTCGGGTAATGTTGGTTGGAGTTATGATGAAATTTTTAAATATTTTCTTAAGTTGGAAGATATGCGAGTGCCAGGTTTTGAAAATGATGAGTTTCATAATCGTGGCGGTCCGCTTACTATAGAGAACTATAGATTTCCATCACCATTATTGGACGTATTTTTACTATCAGCTAAGGAACTAAATCTGGTAAGCTTGTGTCTATAAAATATTTAAATGCAAGAATTAAAATTTTTAATGTAAATTTTCACAAATAAGTTAAATCCTTTTGGCGATTTTAATGGACGTAGTCAGACTGGTTTTGCAGTGCCTCATGCCACTTTGCGCGATGGTCTACGTTGTAGTGCCAATAAAGCCTATTTGCGCCCTGTGTGGCGACGCCCCAATTTGGATATTTTGCTTAGGGCATTTGTTAATAAAATTATAATAAATCCGCATACAAGACAAGCGAAAGGGGTTGTGTTTGAACGTTATGGCTTACGGTATGTTGTACATGCTACACATGAAGTAATACTTTCTGCTGGTAGTATTGCTAGTCCACAATTGTTAATGTTATCAGGTGTAGGACCAGCAGAACAACTCGAAGCACATGACATTAATGTAATACGTAATGCACCTGGTGTTGGTATTAATCTGCAAGATCATGTTTCATGTTCTGGTGCTACTTACACGATAGACAATCATGTCACTGGACACAGACTGTCCTTTATAGTTCCAGAAATGTTGACAGTTAAGTCTGTGGAAAATTTCTTATTCAAATCTACTGGCTTCTTTTATGCAATGGCTGTTTGTGAAGTCATGGGTTTTATAAATACTAAATATCAAGATCCGCAAGTGGATTGGCCAGATGTGCAAGTATTTATGGGCAGTTATGGTTACGGAGTAGATGGCGGATTGGTTGGACGGCGCGGTGCTTCCGTTTCACTAGAAAACTTTGTCGACGCATTTGAACCTATAGTATATAAGGATACATTCGTTATTGCGCCACTGCTAATGCGCCCAAAAAGTAGAGGTAGAATTGAATTACAATCTAGAGATGCAAAAGATCATCCGAAAATTTTTCCGAATTATTTTGATCACCCAATTGATATGGCTGTAATGGTAAGTGCTAATTTAATAAAAATCTGTTTCAAGTAGTCAGTTTTTTTATTTCTTAGGTAGAAGGTCTTAAATTCTCACACAAAATAGCACAAACTGCAATTATGTTGCACATTAATGCTACCTTAAATATTTACGAATGGCGTAATTGTCCAGATACGGAGTACTTGAGTGATGCATTTTGGGAATGTATAGCACGTGTTTACACACAAACAATATATCACCCAGTAGGCACCTGTAAAATGGGTGTTCCAACCGATCCCTTTGCAGTAGTTGATCCAAGATTACGTGTTTACGGTATAAGAGGACTACGTGTTATCGATGCAAGTATAATGCCGACTATCCCTACGGGAAATACTAATGCACCTACTTTGATGATTGCTGAAAAGGCTGCTGACATGATTAAGGAGGATTGGCTTTAATTGGCTTGGTTTCATTACTAGCAACGTTTTAAATTGCAATTTCATAGTATAAATAATGATTTTTATTTTATTGCTTATATACATTACATATAGAAATATGCTAGATATACTGTATCAATTTTAAGCTTAAAAGTAACTAATATGTACAAATTAGGTCACGATAATATTAAATTAATATTTGAAATATGCAAATTATTAGAATGCTTTTATATATTTTTTATGGTGTTTATATAAATTCATATATAGACGACAAAATAAATTAGATGAAATTAATATAAATATCTGAATTGCGTTTATTGCAAAACAAATTGAATAGTTAACGATATTTGTTATATTAAATTTTTTAATTTTAAAATAAAGAATTTTGTTTTATACAAAAATATATAAGGATTTACCTCAAAAATAATGTTTAAATTAAGTATTGGTTTTTTATAGTAATTTGGTTATATCAATTCTTGAATAGTTGAACAAAGCATATAAAACTTATCAAACTATAATTGAACTTGAAAAAGTCATTGGGATTCCTCTCCACATGAGTCAAAGAAATTTCAATTATAACTGATATTATTATTATTATTGTCTCATAAGTTGACATATTTACAGTATTATATATACATTACGTTCAATGCTCAATGTACAAACTGAGATAGAGGTTGAAAAAGGAACCATTGAATTTCTTTCATCTTTTTGATTTTGAAAGGTATATTTATTGTCAGAGAAGTAGGGTGAGAGTAAAAACAATATGTCGGTTCAAATTCGGTCAAGAGAGCCAGTTTGACGAGCGCAAGACACTCTACATAACATAGCCCTATGTTTCTTCTTCTTAAATAACTTGAGTTGCTAAGTGCAAATTACTTACACTTTCAAGGGAAAAGCTTTCGGTACTCAAAGTTTTTGAACACCAATAATGTAAACTTCGAATATTTAAATTTATATCTTAATGTTTATACATTTGAATTGACTTATTATTAATTTCTTATAAGTTTATTATTATTATTTACTATTAGTGAAAGATTCACATGGCTTAAACATGTTCAACTGAAAAAAATTAACTGTGCCAAAATTCTTTATCCCCGCTAACCGCTATTCAGAAATAAAAATCTCAATGCTAAGAACAGGAAACTGATATATAACCAAATAATTCATCCGTCACTTCTATATGGTTGTGTAGCGTTTAGCAAAGCTTCAAACACTACTATCCGCCAGCTAGAAATTACACAAAGCCAGGCTCTGAGAAGACTTTTCAAAGTACCATGGTACATTAGGACGAATGACATCCTTAGAGACCTCAAGATAGATCCCATCAATAAATACATAAAGGATAGAGCCTTAAAATTATTTGCCCAAACTGACAGGCTTACCAACACCGCGTTATCAAATTTTAGAATGGTTACAGGCTCCTCGGGAAGGTATGCAGATCTGAGGTCAATTATTGCTTAGTCTGATGAAGTGATAAACAATAATCCAGTCAAGGCGTTTTAAAAATACCTGTACTAAGCTTCAACTTAATATTAGTGAATAATATTATTAGCTTAAATATATATAAAAATTAAAATAAATGTCATTTTTCTTTTGTTTTACGTTGATGTAAAAATTTTATGTGTTAACCACACAATGGAATAAATGAATAGGGAAGTAATCAACTAGTAAGAGAATAACAGATATAGCGATTAGCTCTCTCAAGGTTGATTCGCAATGGATTAAGAGTGTCTAAATAATCCGCTTAAATTTCTGTTTTTTTCATACACAATCAGTGTTTTTCTCAGACTTTTCTTTTATTAAATTATAAAACATGATCGATGCATTTCTTAAGCTTTTATTCCATTAAAATAAATAAAAGTAATATGTAGTATTCACTTCTAGTATTAATGATTTTATTGTAGGAACCAAATCACTCTAAATATTTTGAAAAATTTTAGAATTTTTAAAGATACATTGAAGTTTACAGAAGTTACATTTATTTTTAATGTCTGCTTAAGTGTTAAATAATAAAGAAATTAGTTTGCTTATAAGCCTTGATTTAAAGAATAAGCGCATAATTATTATAATTAATTCAAAATTCATTTATTAATCATATAATTTACTAAAAAAGCGCTTATATACTGATACCTCTCAATCTGATAATGTAATGTCTAGAAATGGACTGAAAATGACAAACGCCAACGACATATGATGGAAAATCCAAACCATTCATAAAGCAGCAAAGATCTAATCAAAATCACTAACTTTAACTAGACAGGTTAACTTTTTTCATTTATTTTAATAAATTATCATTGGCAATGATTCATATTTTAGATATGTTAAGTACAATCATACAACAGTGTTTAAATCTGTATAGGACTTTTATAACTCAGCTATTTATTACATAGTTAAGATATAATAATCCTATTTAATCGAATATTAAATCCCAGATTTACCAATCGAATATTACCAATCGAAATAACTAAAACTGCATTAAAAGAGCATCTTGATTGAAAAAATTGTCCTAGATTTACCAATCGAAAAACCATACATTTAAATCTCTATGGTTCTCTCTGTTTTTTTCTTTCTTTGATATATAAGTTTTGAAGACATACATTATCTTCTATTTTATAGAACATAGTTTTTTCGATTTGAACTTCGCTTCCTCTATTTTCTTCCATCAACTCCTTAGGAGGGTAATATCTTAAGATCGTACGCTTTAAAGAGAACACATATTAAAATTCGAACTGTTACTTACTCTACCACATTTTAGAGTATTTTACCAGAACTTATTTGAAATAACAATTTTCTATAGTTTAACTGCAACACTATTATTATTAGTATCAATATTATTTTAAAACTCAATAAAATAGATTTTATTACACATTATTTTAATTTTTATTATTGAACTAAAAATTCTACTAATCTCAAAACATGAATTATATATATATAATTTATCGTCTCAAGCCACTATTCATGGTCATTCTGATAAAATGTATTGGCGCTGGTAACTCCATTCTACCAGCAGCAGCTGCAAAGCTAGTAATTTGTGGTACTACGGAATTCACATTTGCATCTGTAAAGAACAAAATATAGCACGCAACTGGGTCAAGTACGTCCACAACACTACTGAAATCACATGTTTACCTGTTTGAGAAGTTACCGTACCGACGGTAATTGTCGACGCTTCCGTGGTTGGCTGTGTGACTCTGATTGCTGGAATCTCTGTCAATTCATTAGGATTAAGTAAACTTAAGGCGCCATTTAGATCACGATTTGGTTGCGAAAAAAAATATTCCAAACTATTTCTAATGTTGGTCAGAGTTTCCTGTATTGGGATTTGTGCTTCCGCATTGGGCAGTTCACTCACAGTCACCAACAAGAAGGCGACTAAAATACCGTTGAACGCGATCGAAATTTTACGCGACATTCTTGCTGCACGTTTCAAATTATACTGCACTTTACAATGCAAAAAATTTGTTAATTTTTTTCAAAAATTATTAAAAACGTTTAAATGTTTTAACAAATCTGTTGGGAGCATTAATCAACTGTAGTCCGAATTTGGTTACCAAGTCTCGCTTTTGCTCTTTGTGGCAAAAAATTTTGTAACCCTCAACGCCACGAAAAAAAACTGGTAAAACTTGAACTTATTACAATTACTTCGCAATCGTTATTACAAATTGAAATTATATTCATTTAATACTCTTTTTTTTTACTGAGTTTAATTTTTTGTCATTAAATAATTTATTCAAATAAATAATATCTGATCTGATCTTTTCATCAATTTCAAACATTCAGACTGCAAATGATGAATAATAATGCGGCGAGTAATTTGCATTTTACAGTACACTCACTTAATTATTTAATTAACTAATTGTGAGTTCTTAAAATATTTGTTCTAAATAAATGCACTCAACTTCTAATGAGTTTAATTGCATAGAACTTGCAAAAAAAAAAATGTTGTCTTCCAACAGTCCAACAATTTTGCGGTAGTAGTTTATTATTTTATTGCTTTATAATAACTAATACCTTTTTAATAACCTCACATCATGACCTATTCTATAAATGACTTTATTCTCTAATAGAATAATTTATAGTATAATTAAAATTCATTATATATCAATATTATATGATTATGTTATAGTGACGGAACCGACTGGGAAATTAAAATAGGAATAGCAGGGTTATCTTAATAAAACATTTTTCAACAAAGCGTATAAAAAATTATTAAAGCGAATTGCTTAATATTATTGAATAATAATATTTAACAATTTATTCACTATTCACTGTCCAATTATTATTTTAGAGTACAGATGAGACTGGAGTTTTTCCAATAAAAAAAAAATGTATTAATCAAGGAATGAATATTAATTAATATTCACATATGTTAACCTTGTAAAAACTCTATATATCAATATAGTCGTATTATTCTGGTACGCATTTTATATTACACATTATATGAATGTTAGTTAATGCCAATACTCGTTATAAAGTAGCGTAGTGTTGTAGTGTAGTGTTCACTACAAATGTAAGATTAATTGGTACCCTCACTTCAACTCTCTTCGTTGTATTACGAACTAAAAGATTCCACGAATACTTATGCTACTAGATAGCAGATATCTTTCACGCCACCACAATCATTTTTCTAATATTCTACATATTAAAAAACTTTCTACTCTGTGAGTAATTTTTTAAAAAGTCCTTTTCAAACTGACGAGCAGAAGTTATTAATTTTTCTTGTTTGCTATTTAACATAATTGGAGTTATATTAACCCGCTTTATATATCATATTCTCAACATTTCTTAATACTCAAAATTTTTTTATAAATAACACAATTGACTTCCTCACTTTCTGGTTTAGTTATATTTGGAACTTCAAACACAAATTCCCTTATTGTTTATATTCCCTTTAATAAACAGGTTTCGAGAGAAACCTCTCGGGAGAGATTTATTTTTTTTAATTCAATATAATTTCAGTCGTTCACAGTCGTATGAAGTCTTTTCACTATACATTCTTGAAAGGTACTTTTAACAGGCTTTTATTTTACACCGAAATTTTGAAACATATATAAAAATGTTCCTGGTTCTATTAAATATCTAATTATCTTCAAAAAAAGATAGCTAAGTTTGGTTAATATTGCATTGTTTAAAAACTGATATATAAATTATTTCTAGATTTTGAGGTCAAAGCACATTTTGGGGCTAATAGGTTAGACTTGTAGAACCTTTTCATCATATTTCTATACGGATTTTGTATGAAAACGGTGCAAATATGCAAAATATCAAGTTATAAGTAAAATAGTCTATAATAGTAATTCGTTATTTCTATTATTATTAATATAAAAACGTTATATTGCTACATGTTGCTTACTAAGTTTTTGCAGTTGAAGGTGGCTCCGTAAGAGATCTTATGGAAATTTTTGGAAACAATACAATATCATTATTGATTAATCCAAATCAGAATTTATCACTAAAGACATTCATCTTCGTCTTCTTTGTTCCATTAACTCCCAGTGGAGCATAGGCCGCTTTTCTCGGAAGAAGCTAACATCCCTAGTGGGCGCGTCTCCAGGTGGCGGGGATAAGAATTATACACTTCATATTTTATATATGAATATATTAATATATTATGTTAAATATATAATAAAAATTATTATTTAATTAATTTAAATTTATTCAATTTTAAGTTGTTTTTAAAATATATAATATCTATAGGTGAGTCGTTACCATAATTGTATTGACTGTTGCAATATTAGTAACTAGTATCTTTTCTTGAAAAAAAAAATCTATTATCATTTTATAGATAAGCTCATTTTGAGCAGTAATACTTGTAGTTTTGGTATTACTTAATTTTAAAAATATTTAGTTCAACTATATATTATTGTATTAAATAATTTATTCTTTTCTTGTAAGCAATTCAATATTTGGACTATAAGAGATATTTCAATAATATTATTGACTTATGTCGTTACATATGTCAACATCTAAGTAAGATAGCTAAAATGCTAGTTCGTATATTATAAATATTAATTTATGATATAATTAATATCTCATTAAATACAACATACATAGTTTCTTACATTATTCGTCAATAATAAATTTTATTTCAAAAGTACTATAGATCGGCATTTTTTATTTTTGTTTATCTTGCAAGAGCAATAATTTGAAAATAAATTTTTGTTTACATTACACAATTTATATTGATTAGTCAATAGAATTAAGTTGATTGCATTTTTCTAGATAGAGTCTCTCCCACACACTGTTTTTACAATAGCACGATGAGAGATAAAACTAGCTACCTGTATTCTGTTATGATACGGGTTAACTTAAGCATTAATCAAATCGTATATACTTTATGATTTAAGCCGGAGACAATACATTGAAGCATTGAGAGTTATTATTTTGGAGTAAAAAACTGTAATTAATGTGTATAATGCACATTTTTATATTGAATGAGTATTACTTAAAGAAAGAGCTTGAGTATAAAATAAGTTAGATTTCATAAGAAACTCAACACTCATTACTCCATTAAAATTTTAGTTTAACGCATTGCCATATAAAAAAAATAAAAAATTAATAAAAACTTATTTAGTTTAAAACGAATTATATTATATATTAAATGTAACCTCGCTTTTTTTTAAAGAAAATACTGATTTTTTTATAGAAATTTGTTACATATTATTATACACACATATATTATATATATAGAAATTATATACACACATATTAGATACAATTATATATATATATTACATATTATTATATTATATATTTTGCTTTGCAAATAATATATTGTTGTCTTGAAACGTTGCAATATGACACGGTAACATCCCCTAGACATTCTTCAAAAATACACTAAAAAATTACTCTTATATATAATAAAAAGTTCCTAAGTGATAGATGAGATACATCTTTATACAGTCTTTTGTAAAGTTCTTACTAAAATCGTCATTGAAATATTTATATAAATTGAAATAAAAAATAGTACAAAATTTTTAAAAAAATTGGTCTAATGCAATTTTTTTTACTTATTTAAATTTTTCAAACTGTGGTCAATTGTGGAATCAAATATTTAATAATTATATACTAAAAATATTATAGTTTTAAAAAATCTTCGTAAATTACTACTAAATAATATATCACCTTACTATTTAGTAATAAAAAAAAAAAAAATTACCTTACTATTCAGTAATAAATTAAAAAAAAACAAAATTTATAATTCTCATGATGTTTAATTCGTTAAGACGTAAATGTTGCATAAGAAATATTGAGGATAAGTTGATTATTTTAATATAAAACTATTAATACTATGAAAAAATTAATTTTCATCATTCATAGTCATATATCTACTGGTTGCCAGTATATTTACGAATTCATAGGCCAAGTTAATGGAATTTGCTATACAATTTCTATAAATAAACTTTTGAAATTATTAACGAATTACTATAGTGTAATTAAAAATCAATCTACATAATATCAAACTAATGTCCGCTTAATAAATAATATCTATATATGAATAGTAGCTATATTGATTTATATGTCATAATGAGTTTTTTATAATTATACTATTTTTATAAGTAACTTTATACATAGTTTTTTATGTTGGATTCTGTAGATGACCTAGTGTTATCACATATATGATTAATCGTTCCAATACCTTGACTCGTGTAATTTAGATTCTAGGATGCATTGGGTACTAATAGGTATATAAAACGTTAAAGCAAACATAATACCATTTTGTAGAGTATTACCTTTTTTTTTCATGAGCTTCTCATGAGAATATGCTAAGCTTCTTGAAAAAAAAATTATATATAACAGTGTCATTGTAAATAGTTAAAATTATACAGTACAGTATATAGTAAACTATATGCTTATAAGCGTATAATTTCCGCTTTATAAGCTTCAATATCATAAGTATGATCTTGCATGATATTTAACAATTCTCTGTAAAAACCTCATTACTTAGTTAAGTGATTAATTATATTAGTATAAATATTGATCAATTTAAAGAGGATATCATATTATAACAACCAACTAAATAAACTAAATAAAAATTAATTATTTAATTGGCTTTGCTGTTCCTGAGACAAACCTTGCACTGTAAATATACAATACAAACTTAACATTATTAGATGAATGTTTTTCTATAGTATACAATTTAACATTTTTTTTTGAAGTATTTATAGTTTTTATTATTTTTTTTTATTAACAAGTTAGAAAGTTTTAAATTTTATATTATACAAGTATATATTTATATTATATATATTTGTATACACAATACTTATTAATTATATATAAAATGTAAGCTGCATCTGTTAATAACATCTTTAAAATCTGTTAGCAACATTTGCTTATTATATAGGCATTAGCCTTAAAAAAAATTTAAATAAATTGTTATAAAATAAAATTTTATTATTATTTTATTTTGGGTATATATATTTAAAATTTTAACTAGATTAAATTAAATAAATAATTTATAAATATAAATTTTATTATCATTAAATTTCTGTCAACTGCTTTTAATTATTCTTTTTTTTCTTATGGTTTCTAACGATTTGGGATTGCATGGTAGTTTCATAAAATTTTTATAATATGTGTAGGGGTAGAAATAGGGAATATTAAAATATATTACTGTATAATGGTATGAGTTTTATTAAAATGAAAAAATAAACGAACACAAAATAATACAAATATTCGAAAGTGAATCAACTTGAAGTAATTACACAAGTTTAAAACATTACAATGTAGTTTTTTAGTTTAAACCAGTACTCTTTTTAAGCATATGCAAAACTCTTATACTGGATTTACACGAGAGTTTTGATTGTAATTTTAGTTGTCAAAAATATTTATTTTGCATTGAAAGCAATTACAATTGACAGCTAAAATTACAAACATGACAGTTAAAATTATAAACAAAACTCTCGTGTGAAACCAGTATTAGTCTACATTGAGAATACTTTGCTTTTTTTTTGGATCCTGTTTTAAACTCTTAAAAAATGTTTACAAAGTAGTTTTATATTTCGATTTTGGAACACTAAAAATAATAATTGTTTTTACAAAATGTACACAAATGTCATATTTTATCAGTGTGAATTAGTTTAAATAGATAAAAATAAATGTACTATATAATATTTATGCAGAACGATATAATTTACTAAACATTTATAATTGTTACAATTTGGATAATTAAAACAATGATACTTTGTATTATTATTATTTGGAAACTGATATAACAAAACCCAAGTATTATTAACGATGGTGTGAAATAATACTTTACGTGTTTGAATACAGCACTAAATTACAGATGCAAATAATTAATCCGTACATTGAAGTGTGTGTTAACACTTAGCTCATTAGATATGTAAATTTTTTACAAGTTTAACAAATTCACAATGAATGAATAGTGAAAAGTCAACCTTCATCACGCATGCAATCTAATTTTATATTATATCATATAATATTCCGTGATATATAAATCCATTTCATTTAAAATAAACATGATAATTTAATCAAATTTTACTATTAATAAATAATTTTCACGTTATATTATATCGGCTCAATTATTTTAATACAATGCTTTCTATCAAACAATTTAATGTAATTGCAATTTATTTACAAAGTTGTTATTAATGATGTTGCACATTAAAGCAACAAAAAAAGTTGGGTTCAGTTGGTTTGATCGAAGTTTCAGTACCCTTCGTAAATAGGTATATGTTATCGTACGATAATATAAGGGTATATGTAAGGTAAGATATATGCCTATATAGGCATATATATACAGACCATTATTTACTCATGTTTCTTTTTTCTCTCTAATCTTTTTCATTCATACTTTTTCTTTATGCCAATTTAGCTATTTTTTAAATGATATATTTAATGATACATTTAAAAAATTGGATGTGTTTTGTGTGATCTAGAATATATTAGAGCGAATTATATAGATATATGTTGTTAGTATTTAACACGTATCTCTAAATCAATTTTCAAACACGTTTGAGTGTAATGATATGGTAGATTTGCAACGTTGCTATGATATATTAAAAAGTAGCTAGTAAAACAACTGCTTAGGATAAAAAAAATATTTCTTTACATTCACGTAGTTTATACCAGGTTCATGCTTAAAGTATTATTATGCCTATGGCTTACTAAAGCTATAAGAATCTGTTAAAAAAACTTATGTGATTTCATGCGGGGAGCATAAAAATTATCCGACATATAGTGCTTCACATATATTATATTTATTTTATTTATAAACTTAAATAAGTGCGCCAAAAAATTGACTTTGGGCGCTATGAAACCTTAAGTCCTCATAACGGGCTTATAAATAGTTAGGTATATGTTTCATTTTTAAAGGTTCCTGTTCGTGCATGTTTATAGATAACATCTATGACATATATGGCATCAAATTTTTATCCTATAGTATTCTGTTAGTGTACATTATGTATAGCATGGTACATGTGTCTTTAAAGGGTTTAATCTTTGAAAAAATTGAAGTACGCTAAATTTTTGTATACAATTTAGTCTATCATTTAAGGATTCGATTCTGAAAAAATTGAAGTACGTTAAATTTTTACATATAATGTAGTCTCAGTGTCATATATGAAAACATCGAATTGTTACAGCAAGACACTGACAGTGCAAGTGTTAATAATGAGTATTTTAGAAAAAGCTTGAAGAGATGCAGATTTGGATTTTATGAGTAAAGTTTGATAATGTTATGACCATGTTAGTGCTATGTTAGCGACATGTTATCCAAATGTTATGAATATGTTATAGGCATGTTATGTATAGTTATGACTATACTGAGCATAAAACAATATATTATATTTTTTATTTTTAATATATATATTATATATATTGAACAAGTAATTATTTTATTATACAATAAAGATGAAAAAATGCTTTTATATATATATATTATATATATATATAAATATATTGAGCAAGTAACTATTTTATTATACAATAAAGACGGAAAAAAACTTTTTATATATTCATGTAAAAAGTATTTTATTAAAGTTACAATTAAAAAATACCAAAAAAGATTTAAAAAAATCAGATAAATTAATATGCCTACCAGAATTTGTGTTTTCGAGTCAATAAACTTAATTTCACCTGATTAAATTGTTGTATAATTTTCACGGATTATTTACACTACAACTTTCAAAGTAAACAATAAAAAGTTATAGCAAAAGTTAATATAAATGCAAATCGTTTCGAAATGAACTCAGAACGATTCTGATTTAAAACGCGCGACAACTTCAAATAAAAATAAAAATACTAAATTAAATACTTTTATTTTAAAATATATGCGATTATTCTTAACTGTGTTAAAATTTTTATTAATAATTAAATTATATATGCTTGAATAATTTGCATATAGAAAATATTTAAGTTTGGTTAGCACGTGAATAACAACTATGGTTTCTACAATAATTCAATTTTACTTAAAATAAACAAAATAGAGTTCAAAGAGCTCAGCGAGCTAACAACTGGGACATTCAAACGCACGACTTCGGTGTGATAAGAACGCAGTGTCAGCTGGGTTTACTTGCATTATCTAATTTGGCATAAATTCGATTGAAAATATTTTTTGTAATTTAGTGTAAGAAAAGAATTTGAAGTAAACGTTAGTCTAACAGTGCATTATTCAATAACGTCTAATAACAAAAATGCCAACAACTTTTCAAAGTCTACAGTGCCCAGTTCAGAGTACTGGCACAATAGATTCGATGGTAGCTATCCTAGTGCAGGCAATATTATCAGCGCAGTGTGCAATATCGCCCCTAGAGTATTGGCCACCAGATTATGCTGATAAAGCATTGACGCAGGGCTTAAATGATTATGATTTTGTGGTGATTGGTGCTGGTTCCGCAGGTTCAGTAATGGCAAGTCGCCTTAGTGAAAATCCCGATTGGAAAGTGTTAGTGCTAGAAGCTGGTAATAATCCACCGCAAGAGTCAGAGGTACTTTTAAATAATAATTTTCAATTGGAAATTAAAAAAATCTAAAACTTACAACACATTTCAGCCCCCTAGTCTCATGTTCAGCATAGCTCACACAAATTTTTCATGGAACTACTTTACTGAGCCCAGTGACAAAGCATGTCTGGCTTTTAAAAATAACCAATGTTATTGGCCGCGTGGAAAAATGGTTGGTGGTTCTAGTGGCATGAATGCTATGTTGTATGTGCGTGGTAATAAACAGGATTTCGACAGTTGGCTGGAAGATGGTAATGTTGGTTGGGGATGGTCTGATGTACTGCCATATTTCGAGAAATCTGTGCGACCAGTTGGTAATGATACACATCCACAAGGTTATGTTACAGTAAATGAGTTCGGTGCATTTGATGAAGATATCAAGCAAGTTATACAAAATGCAGCAGCTGAAATTGGTTTGCCAACAGAGCGAGAAGTAAATGAAAATAGTGAAGTTAGTTATACAAGATTATATGGAACTGTGAAAAATGGACATCGTATGAGCACAGGCAAAGCTCATTTGGGAAAAGTTTCAGGCCGTCCAAATTTGCATGTAATCAAAAATGCACACGTTTCAAAATTGAATTTTGATAAAAGTGGTAGAAATGTGGAGTCTGTATCATTTTTATTGCGTGGAACAAATGAATTAACAGTGAGTGCTAAAAAGGAATTTATACTTTCAGCTGGTGCTATTAACTCACCTAAGGTTTTAATGCTATCTGGTGTGGGCCCAAGTCAAGATTTGCAACGCCTACAAATACCAGTCATACATGATTTACCTGTTGGTCACAATCTTCAAGATCATGTGATTGTGCCCGTTGTTTTCCAAATTCAAGAAAACACAGCAGTGCCTTTATCTGGACAAGACCAATTGGATAATATTTACAATTATTTAATACATTCTAATGGATATTTGAGTAGCCATGGTTTAATATCATTGACAGGTTTTATAAATACTGATCCAAATGACTTCAGTCCTTATCCAGATATTGAAACTCATAACCTTCTAACAAGACGAGAGAATCATGAATCTTTGCAATTAACATTGGACTCGTTAGTATTCAAAGATGACATAGCAAATTATTTACAACAAGTGGTAAATACATCACATTTACTAATGATTTTTACCTCACTTTCTCATCCAAAATCTATTGGACAAATAAAATTGAGTAGTGCAAATTTTCAAGATGATCCAAAACTTTATGCAAACTATTTGACACATGAGGATGATATACAAACATTGATACGTGCTATGCATCATCATATGGATATGGAATCAACAAAATCTTTTGTAAGCAATAATGCGCATATTTTGCATATTCCCATCGAAGAATGCGATAAATACGAATTCAAAACAGATGATTATTGGCGTTGTTATATTAAATACTTCAGCACAACTCTTTACCATCAAACAGGCACTGTGAAAATGGGAGCTGACGAGGATCCAAGTGCGTGTGTTAGTACACGTTTGCGTTTACGTGGAGTTGATAATTTGCGTGTGGTAGATGCTTCTATAATGCCAAGAGAACCCAGTGCAAACACTAATGCACCTACTATTATGATTGGGGAACGAGGTGCTGATTTTATTAAGCAGGATTGGTCTGGTGTATGTGAAGCTTAAGACGACTATACGGCAATGTTATATGGACAAATCTACAGGAAACATAAATATCTTTAAGGAATATTCCAATTTTTACGAAAAGTTTATATATTTTCAATTCTAAGAAATGCAATTGAATGAATTTAGGAAGAAATATATAAATTTCAGTAAAAAATATCATTATATATACGTACAAATAATATCATCAACATATACATATCATATGATGTTATAATATTTACATGCAAAGTAGATTCGGAAAACAAGGGTTACATGTGTGAGTAATTAAATTTATGTTGTAATACATTATTGCACCAATATATTAAATAAATAAAAATAATAACTTATAGATCTTTTAAATCTTTGATACTGATTTTATTAGTCGTAGTGTAGGTCATATATGTATTTTATATACTTGCTTAACGTCGTGAATATTTTAATACTGGATTCTTGACTAGGAGTACAAGTTTAATATGCTTTTAATTTACATAAGCTAAATAGTATACCCATAAACGACTGATAGGATAAGATAATGCGGCTTTAATATGCTTTGTCTGGATAATAATACCAAGGCACTCTGTTCTTGACTGTCAAAACTATTATGCTACTTTGTGAGAGAGATGTTAACCCTTTATTTGTTATCTGCTAATTTATAACAAATTACCTATTTATTTATTTTTTCACTTATGTTAATATTTTTATAGAGACGTTTCAAGTATCAATAATAATTTTATTTTATTAAAAAAAAAAAGAATTTTGCTTTAAAATTTAATCAGACCTTTTCTTACTTTAATAAAATGTCTTTACAACAATTAAAACGCATAAGACATCATTACCCATTCTTTTTGACATATATTACAGATAAACTCCTGTTATTTAGATTACATCTTCGTGCTTTTAAACTTAAGAAATTGAATTAAGTAATTCACTTATGTAAAAAAGTCTTTACTTCCTAATATTTTTTGTTTCTTTACTTTTTATATATATAATGTGATATGTACATAAAGTTATTTGAGTTATGTGGAACGTAGTAAATAAGATATTGACATTAGATATTGATATTGATAGACACCATATACTATACATAAGCTTAATCAACACAGTAGGTCTGTTTCTCTAAGTGTATAATGCAAACTATTGTGAGATCAAAATTTTTTTTTTAATGGACCATGAATATTTGACAAAATAACTAAAATTGTATCTGTCGCAGAAATTCAATAATTAGAACGGATTTTCCTTTGTAAAAGTTTAATATATAATTTAAATTTCATTTCGATCGATTTAGATTAAGAAATCTGTATGTAAATAGAAACATATTCATACCAAATTTATTATCTCACTAAATGAAATTAGCGAAGATATTAGCCTTTGTATAACAATATCTTTAAGTAATTACTAATTAATCAATTGCATTAAATAATCAATTGCATTTAATTAAAAATATATTGGGACATTTAATTGAAAATAAATCTCAGTTTATTCAGTATTTTTATTTATTTTAATAAAACTCCACACAAAATTAACAGTTTGCAACTTGAGATCTCATCCATTGTTAAGCTAGTATCGCAAATAAACTGATATCTATATATATATATATATATATAAATATATATATATTTTGTATTATATTGTCCCTTTAATCAAAAATACATGTCGTTTAATGAATCTCTTTTTTTTTTTGGTTGTCTAATGCGATTTAGATCTGTTATGCTATGAATTGCTTTATAAATAGTGATAATAAAATTTTAGTTTGATTCTCACGTTTTCTAGCGATAAGAGATAAAATATTTTTATTTAACATCAAATACTCACAGATTATTTTCTCTAATCAGAAGTCAGTTCAACAAAAAAAAATTTCTAATCTTAACACCAATAAATATGTATATTGTATAATGTGTAAATATATACTAAAAAATATATATATTTATAAACATATATATTTATATATTTAAATTTTTATTTGTAATTAGTTTATTTTCTCTATCTTTATATAAATAAAATATAAAAACAACTTAAAAAAATTTGCAGACAAAAGCAATTATAACTTAAATAAATTTTTAATGAAAAGAACTTATCGGAAGAGAAAACCTCATATCTACTTAATGAAATTATAATTAATAATATCGTGATCGGGATGCTATCGTATTTAATATTAAAATTTATGAGAAGTGTAATTAGTTATTATCATGTAGATGAGTCAAATATGTCATAACAATTCACACTTATTTTTGGATATGAAAAATTTATTGTGCTCTGGTCATGACTTCAGAGAATACTTATCATATAAACCGCTAATATGTCACAGAAACTCATTAAACGTTTATTATTATTTTATTAATAAATAATAATGATATATTAAAATTCCAAAATATGTTTTACTTAAAAATGATATCACATTGAAAAGTAAACTGTGCTGTGATAAATACAGATAAGACTTAAAAGATTAGATTTAGATAAAAATAAATTCATAAAAATAAAAAATTGCATTAATAGTGGCAGTTAATAAATGAAAAAAAGTGTCTAATCGATACAAATCTGGAGATATTTTTTAAATATAATAACGACGTTGTGGAGTATACTATTTAGCAAACCTAATAACTTGGGGGATAGAAAAGTTATATCAAAAGATTTGTATTTCAGTACAAAATATTTTTCAAATGAATCTCCATTCCATGTTTTGACTATATATGATTTATAATACATATTAGGCAATTTGCATGTTACGATTCTGAATAATTTTGGTTAAGTATTTTGTATATTTTTAAGAAATATATATAAAAATAAAGTACGAGTATAAAAAGATAGATTTATTGTAAAATTGGTGATTCTGGACTTCAGATTTTAGGCAATTGCTTGTCTGAAAGTGGATGATAAGTTTAACAGGAATATATACATACATATATATATATCAGATAATCAAGCTACTTAAAAGCTTTTGCACTACTTTAGGGGCACCCTCTTTGAGGATCTTGATCAACTACAAGATCTCCCACTAAGCTTTCCCAATGGCTTTAGATGGTTTCAAACCCTGAGTTTTTCCATTATATGGTATTAAAAAAATTGTATAATAATTATAACGTTTACTAATTATATAAAGATTTATTCATATATGCCTGTTTGCATATATAAACTAATTTTTAAATAAAGTTTTTGATAATTTCATTCTTAAAACATGTACAATATATTTATATCATATCAATAATGATAATCTAAATGCCTCGGTGTCTAGAGTCTTTTAATAGGTACTCTTAAGTCAATCAAAATTATCTACTTATAGATTTAATAGGTTGTCAAAGATTAAGTTAGACTGATAAAAGATTGAAAAGTAATATGCACTTAGCATGAAAATAAAACTATTTATGATTTATATTAAGAGTTTACTACTCGGTCGAAAATAGTAGTTTCAATTTAAAACTTAGAATTTAAATTTAAAACTATATAAACTTATAGACCATAAAAAACATTTTTTTCTTGGCACCATTAATGTAACTACATTGTTGTCATGTATTTAAAATTAATTAAATCAGAATCAAACTACCAGGCATATATAACCGGACACATCTAATACAACTGTTATGGTAAATAAGATATACTGGTAATAAAAAAAATCAATACGGTAGACAAAGAACTACTAGAACTGCATTTTGTATATTGAGGTTGTCTGTTATAATTTATTGAGCTTCTAAGAACCTTTCTACTATATATGTAGTTACTGATCTTCCAAAAGGCTACCTGTATAGTTTGCCGAGTTTTCAAGAGATTTTTAAAGAGCTTTAATGATAGTAGAGTTTAAAAACATAATATTTAAACAATACAATATAAAAAAACAAAAGTATATTTAGGCACTGTCCTAGAAGGCAGGACTTATACTTTCAACACTTATACTTTTAAGCATGACAAATTCTTTTTAAATTATCTAAGGTCACTATATCTTCGTCGATGTAGTAAAGAGGTGAGGTATATATATATATATATATATATATATATAATGATATATAATATTATACATAAATGAAATTTTTTATTATTAGTGTGAATTTTGGAACAAAATCGTTGATAAGTAATATTAATTATAGTAAATTATTTGTTCTTTCTTCAAGAAATGTATACGATTAAGATGCAAATTGTACTAATATTATACATATATGTTATTATAGAAAAAAGAATTTTAATTATAAAAAAAATTGCAACTTATTAAAAATGTAATGTGATAAAGAAGCAATGATGGTGTTATATGTCAAAAGTGCGCGTTTTGTAATCAATATTAATCAATTAATCATAATCTTATATTAATCAATTTAATAGCAATATTAAATTATATTTTCTTTACAAAATATTTATTGCAACTGGCAGTCACTATTTTCAAAATATAGGCACCTACAGAATATGTTATGTACACTTCATAATGTAAGTTAAATATTTATTACTTAAACTAATGAACTTTTATACTTCACACACTACAGTGAGTTATGTTATATTAAGTTCGTTAAGATGTTTGTAACATATAATGAAAAAATTTTTGTAAATTATTTAAATGTCATATATTTCATTAATCAGCTTGGTGAGATAAATATAAATAGATACAGTGCCTATTTAACATATTTCTAAGTCGGAAAGGTAGTAAATAAATTTTTAATTCTATCGATGTAGATACCCAGATTTCCTTTCAACGTTTGCGCACTGTAACTGGCGCACGACCTAGCAGAGGTCTCATGTATCTCGAAAATCTAATTACCGCTCCATCATAAAAAAAATATTAAGAATTACTTTATATTTCATTTATTAAATTAACACAAAAAAAATATTTTAATAATACCTAAAACAATTTTTAAATAAATCATAAAACACTGAAGAGCATTATAACTGCACTATTTTTTCGTAGGGTACTGAAATAACGGCAAAGCCTCAGGTTTTTCTATTGTTTTTAAGTAATAAATTAACACGATTGTTTTGGGTTATGACAAAGTGAACTACTCCCAACATTTCTAATATTTGTTTAAATGAAACTCAATCTTGAAACAACAACTGATGCTCATAGAACTAAAAAAACTATTTACAACCCGTAAACGTAAACAGAAAAAAAATAGAGAATAAGTAAGTCACTTAATAATCTAATCACAAGCCTCGCACATTGTGGTGATAAGCCGCGCTGAGGAGGTAAAAATTTAATTGCAAATTTTATTATTAAAATTTAAATTTATTCTAAAAATAAATAAAAATAACTTTTTAAACAAAGCAAGGTGAAAAATGCGAAATTTGCAATGTATGGAATTTAGTTGCGAATTAGAGTCTAAACTATTAGGTTGATA